TCACATAAAAAGCAGCAAAACTTTGTATAACCCAGCTGAAGTCCAAGTAATAGTGCAACAACTTTAAGATCACCGCAGATTTTGAAGGAATATGTACTGTAATTTATTTTTTCAAGTAAAAGTTTCATATTTTCATAGGTTTCTTTCATATTTGCAGCATGGGCCAGAGGTACAGACGGAAGCTTATTTCCATTATGCAATAACACTGCTTTTAGACTGGCTTTCGAAGAATCAATGAATAAACGCCACTGAGAGAGATCAAAATCTATGTCCAACATTTTCATAATCTCATTTATGTTATTGCAACACACCAAATCTCCATCCTGAGAAAAATACGTTCTGAAGTGTTGATCACGGTTTCGAAAATAGCTAACTTTTGTATTATGATGTAGCAAATTCCATTCTTTTAGACGTGATCCTAATACGCTTCATTAGCAATGACGTCACATATTGGGTTAGGTTATGGCACTGAATCTAAACAAGTATTTTGACATTTCTTCTTCTCGGATCAAGTGGTTAAAGTGGAGTTTTGAAACTGTTTTTGTTGGAAATAAGGTTGCTAGTTTACAAGTCCGTCTATAACTAGGTGATCCGCTGAATAACATATGTAAGTATTTTCCTTATAAAATATGTTATATTTAGATATTGTTACTCACTTAACCTAACTTTTGAAATTTCTTTGAATAGGATATTTTCAAACACTACTTTTTCTCTGATGGTCGTTATTTGTTACAGAAAATGGTGCAGTGCTGGGCACCCGACTGTAAGCACTATAATGTTAGAGAAACATGTAAGATGTTCAGATTTCCTAAAGATCCAAAAACAAGGAATCGCTGGATAAAACTTACAAGGTAACGCCACAAAGACCATACTGGAATTATGTATATTTTTCGGGGACATTGGAAAGTTAGTTGAGGACAACAACATTAATATATGTGTATGTTTCATTTGATTGCAGGAGAACAGTTGAACCAGGTCCTGGTGCTTACTTATGTAGTTGTCATTTTGTGGATGGGAAGAAAGAAAATGGGCCTACATTATTTACATATAATAAAGAGAAGCAATTGAACTTTCCATCACCAGAAAGAAGAACCCGTAAAAAGGCAGCTGATCAATCTATTAATATCAATGTAGATATAAGGTTAGTCCTACAATATCAATTTCATACAAGTATCTGCAAATGCATTGTGTTCACAGATCTGAAAGTGAGTCGCAGCCATCCACCTCAGCACAAATTGATGAACCTCGTGCAGAAAGTTCTGGGGCAAGCTACAAAGAACCTTATGCATCTCACAGATAGGTTTTCTTTTGATGTTGTGAGAGGAAATGATAGGCTAATCCTGCTGTATACAGGCTTACCCACAGAGAAAATTTTTTTGTCTTTATACAACCTGTTAAAGGACATTGAAATCAACTATTATTATAAATGGACGGTTAAAAAGATGAGAAAAATAGATCAGTTATTCATGACTCTGATTAAGTTAAGACAAAATTTTCCCCATGATGACTTAGCTGTTCGTTTCAATGTATCTCAGGGTACAGTATCAAATGTTATTACAACATGGATACATTTACTCCATGAAATCCTTTTCAAACAAATGATGGCAAAAATTCCTTCTAGAAATAAAAACAAACTTTGCTTGCCAAATTGTTTCAGTAGTTTCACAAACTGTAGAATAATCATAGATTGTACTGAAGTATATACATCTGTATGTAGGTCAAGTATGGCTACACAAAAATTAACATATAGCTCATACAAACATAGAAATACTTGCAAAGGGTTAGTTGGTGTAGCTCCAAATGGGGCAGTTACTTATATGTCCAGTTTGTATCCTGGGTCAACCTCAGACAAAAAAATTGTCAAGGATTGTGGAGTACTTGATCAGCTTGAAGCAGGAGATTTAGTATTGGCAGACAAAGGTTTTTTAATAAAAGATTTAATGCCTTCTGGTGTCAGTATTAACATTCCACCATTTCTTACAACAAGTCAATTTACTGCTGAACAGGTAAGACAAACAGAATGTATTGCACGAGCTAGGATTCATGTTGAACGTGCAATAAGAAGGTTAAAAACATTCAATATCTTAGATTTCATTCCATATGCTTTGTTGCCACATGCAGATATAGTATTCCAAGTTATAGGTGCTTTGACAAACCTACAGTACCCACTTATAAGAGAAGTTGAACAGTTTTATTCTGAAGGTGTCCATAAGCTATAGTTTTGCGTCTGGTTTATAGTATATATAATAAGAGAGCACAACATAAATTAGCAATAAATAATATAACTGTCCTGCACATTTTCATTCATATATCAGTAAGACATTACAAGAATCATAGAAATAATTCAATAACCCATAAAAATCTAAACTGCTGCTATATGACTAGTATTCTCATTGACAACTTTTAATGAAATATATCTTTTGTTTTACACTACATGCCAATGACTACAGTTAAAGAGATCCACCAAAACCATCCAGTCTCTACATGAATATGTTGAGCTTTTTGCTCTAAGAAATGTTCAGAGATGTTTTAGAAAGTTTATTTTGGATTTTGTATCCTATACATATTGTTGTATTAAAAAACCACTGTATTTATTCTATGATCACTGTATTTGAAATGTAATTTTTCAACTGCTTTGTACTTTATAATTCATCTTCTCTACTAGATACCTAATCAAACATCTTTTATGTGCAAACAGAGGGTATAATACTATACAATTTCCTAATTCAAAATTAAAATAATTTGACAGCTGGTAGAGAAGATAATGTCTGTAAAATATGTAAAATAAAACATCAGTTGCATAAATATTGTTTTATTACCCAATCATAATAAAATATTCCCCAGAAATTGTTGACAGTAAAACGATTTTAAAGTATTTATATTATTTTTCCATTCATCATTTCTTGAAATTCTCATAATTATAGTATCTTTTGGAATCCATATTACTAGATAACACATATCTTTATTTGTGATGTATAACTGTCCCTGTACTTGGTGATAATAAATATGATTTTCATTAATGGTCCAGGAAGAGTTATCATAAAAAACAACATAATTTTCATTACTGGTGAGCACCTCTGACAGTTTTTCTGCATTCCTATGTTTGAAAGGACATTTCACTTCAATAATGCAATTTTCACTTATATAGGCAGAATCCTGCTGGTTCTACATGTAATCCTGTGATTTCCTGAAATTTTTCTATGGCGCTTTGTTCATTTTCCCTTCCCCACTGAACAGCCCGAACTCCACTCAAATCGTATCCTTCTAATAACCCTTTGAATAATGATTTTGGATACTTCTTCTTTTGGCAAGCTGATAAAACTGCACCAAACTTGCTGGATGTCAGTATGTACTTTCTAGCCATTAGCCAATTAGCATTGTTTGACTGACCAATAGTCATCTCTGCAACTTTCTTTATTATGCTCTCACTCACACAACATTTCTGTAAAAAGTAGTCTTCTTTATTGGGAGCTGTTGTATACTCGTTGGAAAAAATTATTGCCTTAATGTCTGGTAACAACATGAGGTCTACTGAAGGCTCTGGCAACAACCACCACGTAAATCCTACAGGTGTAGCATCACCTATTGATTGAATCAATGTTACAATCTCAGATTCAGTTGCACTTCTTTGAGCAGCTTTGAAACCTGAGTATTTAGGCTTGTAGATATCACTAATTTTTGTGACCTGTTCAGTTTCTGCTGGCTTCCGTTTACTCCATAAACATGTCTTATCTGTCACGCTTATGTTATGGTGAGCATGGATGCAAAGAGCAGCCATGTGGTGACAAACTGCTAGACCTCTTGGACAGGAGCATTTAGCACAGACAATCCCATCATCAAGATCATATGAAATCTGAAATATGAGCATTCATTAATATAAAAATAAACATTCATATAAATCAATTAGTATTACCTCCACAGCATACATTTTTTTCTTCATACTTGCGGCGACTTCTCCCCTTAATAGTGCTGGAGAAACTTCTGCATCAAATAGCATTTTGTGGACATTCCCACTTTCAAAAGCATTTTCACCACGTTGAAGCTGGGATATATCATCCTTGAAAAATTCTCCTATTGCCGAAAACGAAATAACACGTTTCGAGGACACTGAAAATAAGCTCGTATTAGTTACGGATCGTATATTTTTGAAATTGTGCAATAAGTTATGGAAGAAAGATACAAATTAGCTTTATTATACTATTACAACATAACCTATAATAATTTCGTCGCTAAAATTAGATTGTCATTTATTAATTGCACGTGATATTTTTTCATGCTTTGTTTGAATAATGAACCAAATACTTACTTTCAGAAGTTAATTTCGTTTAAAATGATCAAATCACAGCAGAAAAGATGCAAATAAAATAGCCACTGACTAGCTCTAATGGCGACTTCCTTTGTTTAGATTCAGACACCTGACCTACCTCACTTAGTGACGTCAGACTAATGGAGCGTATAGTTCTGACTGCTTTTTTGACAAATTTAAATCCCGAACCAAATCATTTAGGTCTCCTTGAGTTATCAAATGTGGCTCGTTTACAATTCCTTTTAACTCAAAGTCATCGTCCTCGTCAACACATTCACCTGAAGTGGACGGTTGTGAATTGTTCTCAACAGACGTAGTTGCAACTGGTATTAGTTCTGGCAATTTTTTACAATGAGAGACTGGTCTTATAGCCGAAGATAAGTTAGGGTAAATAACTGTGGTTTTTTTCTTGTAATTTATACCTTTTATGTCTGTGAGACAAAAATAGCAATCTGAAACGTGATCTCGCTGTTCAGTGCATATAATGGGTACAGCAAACGGCATAGGTCGTGCACCTTTCTTCCAGTCAGTTAAATTTTTCACACGCGTTATGCAACAGACATGAGGGGCCCAGGATTTGTCTTGATGGGCGACAGAAAAACCAAAACATTGGTGATAACACTCCAACACAAGATTCGTAAAATTTCGTCGTTGTTTTTTGAATGTTAGTTCTCCGCAGACATAACAAAAAGAGTTAGGCCGTTTGCACACACACCGACAAAATCGGTGCCGGTGCCGGTACCGTTTCCTGTGCCGGAAAACATTTAATTTCACACATACCGGCGTTTCCGTGCCGTCAATTTTATTCGGTGTTTGGCAGTGGTAAAAGAAAGATGTATGTTTCTGCTTCTAATAAACGTTATCTCCTTGGGTTATTGTATCTCAGGAGGAAGTATCGACAAGCTAAAAAAGTAAGACAACATTGGGTGCATCCTCTGCTGACTGTCAGATACTTAGAAGGTAGCTTCTACACGCTTTTTGAGAAACTTAGGAAAGACAACTCGAAATTCTTCAATTACTTCAGAATGAGTATTGATACTTTCGATTTCATAGTGGAACGATTATTAAACAGTATCAAACATCAAAATACTCCAATCAGAGCATGTATCCCTCCAAAGGAAATGGTCGCAGTAACAATAAGGTGAGTAAATATAAATAAATACACATCTTATTGTTTTTAATGTTTATTTGTTAACAAGTTTATAGGTTAGAGGTCTTGAAAAAAGGTTATAGTGGGTTCAGATAAAGTTGAACTGGGATTATTATAGGTAGGCTGGGCTAGATTACCAGGTAAACACTGCTGTTGACTCTGTTGAAAATCATGAGCATGTTGACTATTACTGGAATTATTGGAAAGTGGAAATGTATTGTGTGAAAATGGCGTTGATGATCGAGAGGTTGATGTAGATGTGTGACTGGCAAATGCTGGCGATTGCATTTTGTTACGCATGTTAATATTTTTTATTAATTGAAGTACATTCATGCGGAATTCCAGCTTATCATCTTCTGACATTTTTCGTACTGATGGAGTAATTGACAGAAAGAATGCCTCATCCTCGTCAGGTGGCTTTTCTAGGGCTGTTAAAATTCTCTTATCTACATCTTCTTGCAAGCGAGGTTTTTTTGATGTGTTCCTGTTTCCTGCAGGCATAGGGTTGATATTTTTTTGGAGTTGCACTTGTACTTCAGACTCCCTCTCGGCTTCGTTTTGGGTTTCTTTCAACAGAGAATGCTCGTTATCCTGGGTGTCATCAATACTTGACTGCGTGTCGTCTGATTGTACCACTTTCAGCAAGAATGTTAGGTTATCATGGTACATATATTTTTTTGTAGTGGCTTGTCCAGATTTTTTCTTCAATGACTTCACAAAAGAGTCACGGATATTTTGCCATTTCCCACGAATTGCTCCACCTATAAGTAAAATTAAAAATCATAGAAGCGTACAATAAAATTATGCAAAACTAAAATTTTTAGATTTATTTTTTAGTTCGCGATATATTGATAAAAGTGCTTTTTAAATTTCAGGTACCTTGCTTCTGGAGCAACATTTACTGATATGCACTACTACTATAGAATCGGAATAAGCACAATAAGTAAAACTGTTCGTTTGGTATGCAACTCTTTATGGAACTTATTAAAAGACGAATTTCTCCCGCAGCCTACGGAGGAAACATGGCAACGTATAGCAGATAACTTCAAAAAATCCGCACAGTTCCTCAATTGCTTAGGCGCTATCGACGGAAAACACATACGAGTTAACAGATTTCCCCATAGTGGTTCAATGAACCTTAACTACAAGGGTTATTTTTCCATTATTCTTATGGCCGTGGTTGATTCTGATTATAAATTCATATATGTTATATGCACTCAAAACAATGGACTTACTATTCCATACAATGTTGCACCAGACGCTAGCTCAGCAACAGATAACGACTTCTCGCTAACACGTTGTTTACGCTTTATTTTCTAGAAGTGCTTTGTAAGCACACCAATAGTATAAATAGGCCTTGCGCCCATTTCATGTCGTTCATTACCCGGCTAGGCACCGTAACAGTCACTTATGTAAACTTTATGTTCAACACCCGGTTAGACTCCGTAAATGTCACATTTGTAAACCTTTGTATTTTGTATGGACTGAAGCCTCAGTCCTCAAATAAAATTTTTAAAAAAAGTTATTTCTAAATCTAATGATTTAAGAAATTGGTGTCAGAGAAGTGGGATAGCTTCATCGCATTAGAACACGTGCATACTAACTAGTGTGGTGGATGCCTATCCTTTAAGCTGAAAAGGACCAACGAGCCTTAAGAAGAAAGAAACCCATTGAAGAAAGAAAACTACAAGTAAGAAACTACAAAGCAACAAGAAGAAAGAAAACAACAGGGGACACAGCGAGCAGCAGCCACCCAACTGCAGACAGACTACTGGAAACATCGCAAGAGATCCACTAGCCGCCTGGAGAACACGACTGCCTCCCGATGTACCCTTGGTAACGTACAATTTTAATCTAACTATTTTTTGCGATTTATCTCTGTGTGTGTGATTTTTACAACTTTTTATTTGCATTTTTGCGCATTTACTCTATATATTGTCGATTTTCACGTATTTTTCCCCATTTTTACGTATTTTCTATTTTACATTTATATATTTTTGCGTTTACCCTTGACATTATTGAATCTTTTTGAAACAACTTTCCATTAAAAATGTCTACTAACGGTTTAGATGATTACCAACCAGCTGAAATTCCTGATAACGTTCATGCGAACATTGAACCTTATAGATTATCTGAAATATTTTCGATTGTACCCGAGTACGATGGAAACCCGATATTACTATCGACCTTCATCAACGCGTGCCGAACGGCATATCAAATGGCCGTCGAGGAGCAGCGGCTTCTCGTCGTTTTACATATTAAAAACAAACTTCGCGGACGTGCCGCCGAACTTGTGAACAGCCGAAACCCTTCCACGTGGGAAGACATACGGTCCCTGTTAGAAACCCACTTTGGAGATCTTAGAGATCTCACATCTTTAATCGCGGATCTTCAACACATGCGCCAACTCCCCAACGAATCACCCCTAACCTTTGCATCTAGACTGCAGACGCATGCAGCCAAAATGCATTCCGCCGTGAATAGGCAAAATCTAAATCGCGAGCAAAAATCTGCTCAAAGTTCCCTCATCGAAACGATGACTTTAAATTGTCTATTAACAGGATTAGACTCAAAAATAGGACCTGTTGTGCGATCAGGACATCCCACGGATATCTTGACTGCAGTTTCGTATATCAAACGAGAGTTACAACTTTCATATTTGGAACGACAAAAATTCGCCAGGGCCCCAAACCCGAATCAAAATTCAGTTATTCGAAGACCAAACCCTAAAATTTGTAATTTTTGTAATCGTCCCGGTCACTTAGCAAATGAATGCCAACGGAGACAACAGCCTACAAGCTTTGCCCCAAGACAGTTTAACCAGCCCCAACCTCAAAATTACCCTAGGCCTAATCAACCTATGCAAGTTAGACCATCTACATCTAACTACCATCAAAATTCTAATCAATATCTTCCCAGACCATCTGTAATACGACCAAATGCGCGTAACGCGAGTGCGCCAAGACCCTCTGTAATTCAGAGCAATCCAAATTTCCAAAACCCTAATTTTCAAAGAAGTTTTAGACAAAATCCTCCCAATCGAATTAATTATGTCGCCCCTGATTCTTACGATTATTCCGACTACGGTGAACCAGACCTATACAACACGGACTACGCTAATGAATATGACGATACCCAATACTCCGCCTACACACCTTCCCCATACGATGATTTTAGAGAACCCAGTAACGATTATTGTTACGAATATAATCAAACCGCCGATACATTTGTTGGTGAACTTAGCGAATCTCAGTGTCGAGGACCCGAACGCGAAACCGTGTGCGAGCGTCAGCAACACATGCGATCAGATGTTCATATAAACCCTCCGTTTATAGTCCCGTCGACAATTCACCCAGTTAGCCCAGACAACTTATATTACATTAAAGATGCTACTGGAAAATTCAAGATTCTCATTGACAATGGTGCAGGTTGCTCCATTTTCAAACGTAACACTTGTCAAAATTATACTAACCGTGTCGCAGAAAATATCTCTATCCGAGGTATTACTGACGAAAAAATTAGTATTACCGAAGCAGTCTTAGTCCCATTTGCTCCCAATGATTATCACAAAATTTATGTCCATGATCTAGATATTTCATTCGATGGCCTTCTTGGGTCAGATTTTCTTGAACATTATGATTGTATTATTGATTTGAAAAATCGTCAATTGATTACAAATTTCAAAACAGTCCCTCTTTTCAAAGTAGGTGACGAAAATGATTCCAAAGCTTCTCAATTTAAAGAAAAGTCCGAAGCTTCGCAATTTAAAGAAAATTCTCAAGTTCAAAATGTTATTTCCATTCCTCCCAGAGTTGAACAAGTTGTCAAGCTCAAATCCGAGCTTAGAAATACTGAAGCCATTCTTCTGGCGTGTGAGGTAGAAAAAGTCCGTCTACCCAGTTCCATAGTTAAAATTGATTCTAAAGGCGAATTCCTTACTACAGTATTAAACTGTAATGCCATTCCAAAAAATGTAATTTTACCCCAATTAACTTTCGAGCCCTTTAACGAAACTTCTATCAATAATTTCAACACTTCTTTACAAAATCAAAGTCAGTATAACCGTAGAGATGTTATTAGAGATCAATTACGTCTCGATCATCTCAACGAAGAGGAAACAGATTTAATTACGAATCTTTGCTTAGATTTTTCGGACATATTCTACTTAGATGGTGATAGCCTGTCATTTACAAACGAAATTAAGCATTCCATTGATACCACTACCAGTAAACCAATTTTTACCAAATCCTACCGATACCCTTATGTCCACAAGCAAGAAGTCAAAGATCAAATTTCGAAATTACTAAAACAAGGTATTATCGAACCTAGCACATCGCCATGGAATTCTGCGGTGTGGGTCGTACCAAAGAAAATGGACGCCTCTGGTAAACAGAAATGGCGTATGGTGATACTTTAGTACACTGGACTTGGCATCTGGATTTCATCAAATCGAGATAAATCCAGTTGATGTTCCTAAAACTGCATTTTCAGTTGAAAACGGACATTACCAATTCTTGAGGATGCCTTTTGGTCTCAAGAACGCTCCTGCCACGTTTCAACGTGTCATGGACAACATCTTGATGGGTATACAAAACGAAAGATGTCTTGTATACATGGATGACATAATTGTCTATTCCCCCTCCATCCAAGAACACATCAGTAGGCTTACCGAAATTTTTACGCGTCTTCGGAAGTCGAATTTCAAAATCCAGCCTGATAAGTGCGAATTCCTCAGAAAGGCAGTAGCCTATCTTGGTCGTGTAATAACCCCTGATGGCGTTAAGCCCAATCCAGACAAAGTGGATTGCATAAAAAATTTCCCTCAACCCAAGAATCCTAAAGAAATAAAATCTTTCTTAGGTCTTGCAGGTTACTACCGACGCTTTATACCAAACTTTGCCAAAATTGCGAAACCCCTTACCAGACTATTACAGAAAGACGCAGTATTTGACTTTGATAGCGAGTGTGTTAAGTCATTTGATACTTTAAAAAATGCTTTAACAACATCTCCTATACTGATCTACCCCAACTTTGAAGAGCCTTTTGTGCTTACAACAGACGCAAGCGCTTTTGCGATATCTGGCGTTCTTTCCCAAGGTCCCATAGGTAAAGATCTCCCGATAGCCTATGCATCTCGTACACTTTGTAAAGCAGAAACGAGATATTCCACCATTGAAAGAGAATTTCTAGCTATTGTCTGGAGTGTAAAACATTTTAGACCTTATTTGTATGGTCGAAAGTTTAAACTCGTAACAGACCATAGACCCCTTACGTGGCTTTTCTCTTGCCGAGACACCGGAAGTAGATTAGCAAGATGGCGCCTCAAACTAGAGGAGTACGACTATGAAATAGTGTACAAGCCAGGCAAGGCTAATAAAAATGCCGATGCCCTATCACGTATCAAATTACCCAAAACTGTTAACGCCCTTACCCATAGTGACGAAGAAGGAGAACCTTCTACCCAATTTTCCGAAAGTGAATTTGATATCTTTGCCCGCCTTTACAAAACCACATCCCTGATCGATTATTCCAAAATCCAATTTTCAAATTCCCAACTCCTAGACAAAAGTCATAAACATATCGTCACGTTTTTCAGACAATACACTCTATCTGATCTTCACGAAAAAATTATCGAAGACATATTCGAGGAAAATCTTGATTTTTCTGCAGATAAAATTAACATCGCGTCTAGCAAAACAATTAAAGATAGGAAATACTATATTATTCCTGTGCCGTACGATCCCGTAACTTGCATACAGCATCTTTTCTCTGTAATTTTAACCAACAAAGGTGTATTCGACCTATCCCAACAAATCTACGTTAAAAATAATTTGGACTTACCCATTTTAGAAATTTTCTCTTTTATTTTTTCGGATGATAATATCAAACTTGTCGTTTGCCAAAACGTCACCAAAACTCCTAATCCCGACGAACATCCCTTCAATATTCTTCCCTATGCTGTTCAGTGCTACAATAGCACTAGAAATAAAACTACTGGCTTTACACCATACGAGCTCGTGTTTGGCCACACCTCTGGTCGTCCGCCCGAACACGTATATTTAGAAAAAGAATTGATGTCCAAGTATGTTCGAGACATTCGGAATAAACTCGAATATTACTACAAAATTGCCCGCGTGAGAACTGACGAACAGAAGCAGAAAGCAAAAATTCGCTTTGATAGTAGAGTGTCACCCAATTTATAATCATATAAAATTGGCGATAAAGTATTTGTGAAACAGTCTCAAATTTCAAACAAACTTCAGAACAAATCTGATGGTCCATTCGAAATTACTCAAGTTTTTGAAAATTCTGCGCTCCTTAAGAACCCGGAAACAAATAGAATAAGTAAAGTTAATTTTGACAGACTGAAACCATGTTTAGAGACTTAGTTTCTCTTTCAGGTGCAGTCTGCTGTTTCTTGCGGCTGTCACAGCCCAGATAGACATCAAACCGCTTAACAACACCTTAGGTATCTATTTTCATGAAGACGCCCCTCTTAAGATTTCCAACGAAATTTGGACACTCCTTGTATATAAAGATTTAGAACTCATTAAGAAAGCACTTGACGATAACAACAATATTCTGGAACACTTATCATATCTCGTAGACAAACCCACCAATCGTATGAAAATGTTTAGTGGTGAAATTAAAACTGATACAAGTCTCCTTTATCAAATTTCTCGTTCCTTGGAATCTAAATATTACGCAATCTTCGATGACACTGTAAGCGCATCGCGGATGAAACGCGGTCTGATTAACGCTATAGGTACTGTATGGAAAGCAATAACCGGCAACCTCGATTCATCGGACGGTGAATACTATAACGATTGTATTAACAACATTTCTAAAGATGAACATGAGCTCGAAAACCTCATGAAGAACCAAATTTCTGTTACCATGTCGGTTATCAAGAATTTTAATAACACTATTCAAAAACTTATGATTGATGAAACTACGTTTAATTGAAGATATTAAGGTCATTGAAAACAAAATTTATGAAATTTCAGACGATCTTGCATTTTATGAAGCTAAATTCCAATTTTTAGAAGTTTGCGAACAATTAATGGAAAGCTATATGTTTCTGGAAGAGACAATTAATGATATTCTAAATTCAATTACTTTTGCACGTTTAAAAATAATACATCCTTCTATTATCACTCCTCAAGACTTAGTAAATTCTCTTCAAGAAATTTCTCACACTTTGTCGAGAAATAATTTACCTCTTCCGGTTAATTTAGCAACAGTGTCAGAGTACCTTAATCTTATGGAACTCGAAGCATATCAAACTAAAACAAGAGTAGTATTCGTTCTACGCATCCCGTTATTAGAGCCCGAAATGTATACTTTATACAGAGTGATTCCTCTACCCACTCTCGATAAACGTACTGGTTTGTTTCATGTAGTCTCCACTATACAGAGGTACATTGCTAAAGATAGCGATTCTCTTTTGTACGTTTCCTTTCAAAACTTAGGTAGTTGTAAAGTTCTTCAGTCTCAGGTGAAAATCTGTTTCAACCTCTTGCCGTATCCAATAGACAGTAACGCAGTCTGCGAAGCACAGTTGTTGCGAAATCCGGTCGATCTGCCGACAGCCTGCCAAATAGCAATTGTGGCATTGCAAGATTACAAAGTCCAAGAACTTGCAACCAATTTTTGGCTAATCACTATATCTAGCCCTCTGCCAATTACGATGAAGTGTGGACAACGAGAGACTACCACCAAAGTGATAAAAGTTAATCCACTTTTAAAAATGCAACCCGAATGCAGTGGCTTTGTAGGCACCAGGAGATTACATTCTAGATATTCTGTTAGCACCTACAAGAATATCACATACAAAAGTCACCCTGTAGAAGTACCCTACAAATGCTGTGAACATCTCCCAGAGAAACAAAATTTACCAAAATTAAAACCGATCAAGCTAAGCAAGATCGATACTGAAGAACTCGAAATTGCCAATCACAAATTAAACCAATATTCTGAACAACTGGACAAAATTATGAACGAGCCGTTTGTTTCGAGACATCTCTCATGGTTCACGTATTTTTATCATCACCCTGTTAGTTATCATCGTAGCTTTGTACCTGTTCTGCAAGTGCAGAAAACGAAGACCACTCAGCATCTGCGCATCAAATTATCCAGCCGATGGCCCATCTCCAGGAGCACCAAAAGTCCGGTACATTCCCAGACTTTTTCCTCGACGTAGACCAACCATCCAGCCACATGAAGAAGACATCGAACTGCAGTGAGTGTTCCGTGAAGTGTTTTCACTGTTCAAAAAGACATTTCCAATTTTCGTGTTATCTACCATGTGATTTTGCCCGTACGACTGTACGATTGTATCTTATTATTTGTTTGTTCCAGCTTTGCTTTTAGATGTTATTTAGCATCGCCAATGTACCGCATTTATGCTAACAATTTTATTTTTCAGAATCTATATTTTCTGATGTTATTTTGCAATTTTATTACTCCTACTTTTATATTTTTATATTTTACAATGTTTACAATTTACATTTCTACATTTTTACATTTTTGAATTTTTACATCTTTTACACTTTTCTAATTTTATCAAAAGTTGTCGCATGGCAACAACTTTTTGTAATAGGGGGAAGTTGTTATATGCACTCAAAACAATGGACTTACTATTCCATACAATGTTGCACCAGACGCTAGCTCAGCAACAGATAACGACTTCTCGCTAACACGTTGTTTACGCTTTATTTTCTAGAAGTGCTTTGTAAGCACACCAATAGTATAAATAGGCCTTGCGCCCATTTCATGTCGTTCATTACCCGGCTAGGCACCGTAACAGTCACTTATGTAAACTTTATGTTCAACACCCGGTTAGACGCCGTAAATGTCACATTTGTAAACCTTTGTATTTTGTATGGACTGAAGCCTCAGTCCTCAAATAAAATTTTTTAAAAAAGTTATTTCTAAATCTAATGATTTAAGATATATGTAGATATAGGAGCTTATGGTAAAGACTGCGACTCATCTGTATTTCAACAAACAGTATTTTTTAAATTAATGATGGAAGACAAGTTACATATCCCACCACCCTGTCCATTAGAAGCAACTGGAAAAGATACTTTTCCTTATGTGTTTGTAGGGGACGAAGCATTTGGGCTATCAGAAAACCTAATGCGACCTTACGCTGGACATAATCTTACTGAGAAAAAAAGAATATTCAATTACCGATTAACTCGGGCAAGAAGGTACGTTGAATGTGCTTTCGGTATACTTTCCAATAAGTGGAGAATTCTACACAGAGCATTAAACGTATCAAAACAATTATCTAAAGACATTGTTAAAGCATGTGTAGTTTTACATAATGTGGTGCGAATAAGGGATGCCGACAATTTAGAAATGTATGTAAGCCAGCAAAAGCTACCAAATGTGCAAATAGCTCCTTGTAAAGTTTGGCAAACGGATCTGCAACATCGGGGTATCGGTGAGGGGAAAGCAAAACATGGCTGGTTTCATTCATAAAATGCCAGCGGCGTGCGGTATTTTATAAAAGTTTGGGATTATTTCATAATTGGTTTAAATTTAGTAAACTATACGTTTATGTTTCACTTTAAATTTGGGGAGTATCTCAATAAGCCCACAATGATATGGAGCATTGTCCATAATAATAAATAAAGTCTCGGGTAAACTCAAAAATAGCTGTATCTCTACAATCTACACCATGTAAAACAACACTTGAGTTTGTTTCTACACTTCAACAAACGGAAAAATGTCTACTCACTTCCCAAATTGCCACAATTCAAAAAATCATCATAACTGCGCGATTTAAAACCTAAATCAAGCTAGCGTTTTTGTCAAAGCCGTAAATAAAATATATTTTTCAAATACAAATAGATACTTAACGTGGTTTTTTACCTTGAGAATATATATATGTATATATATATATATATATAAAGAGTAAATTATCATGCGGAGAAAGGTATATAACAAAAATAGGAAAATAATGGGCAAAATCCGCAAAAAGTGGATTTGAGCAGAATAGGATAGGTAACCCGAGCGATACGTATTTCTGCTGGTTGGCTTCATCAGGCCCGAAATGAATGCACATATGCAACTACAAAAGTAGAGACAGATGCCCATACATCCGGATACGGGTGTAACCTGAGGAAACAAAGATGGAGAGGAAAAAAAGACACACGAAGTCCACAACAAGAGCCAACCTACACATTGTAGTATCAAATGGCTAGAAGACCTAGAATTTTCAAGGCGACAAATAACCACAACTACGCGGCCGGTTATAGCCACTTGCTGTGGTACTTCAAGCCCAAAGGATCTACAAAGAGTAAATTATCATGCGGAGAAAGGTATATAACAAAAATAGGAAAATAATGGGCAAAATCCGCAAAAAGTGGATTTGAGCAGAATAGGATAGGTAACCCGAGCGATACGTTGTGGACTTCGTGTGTCTTTTTTTTCCTCTCCATCTTTGTTTCCTCAGGTTACACCCGTATCCGGATGTATGGGCATCTGTCTCTACTTTTGTAGTTGCATATGTGCATTCATTTCGGGCCTGATGAAGCCAACCAGCAGAAATACGTATCGCTCGGGTTACCTATCCTATTCTGCTCAAATCCACTTTTTGCGGATTTTGCCCATTATTTTCCTATTTTTGTTATATACCTTTCTCCGCATGATAATTTACTCTTTGTAGATCCTTTGGGCTTGAAGTACCACAGCAAGTGGCTATAACCGGCCGCGTAGTTGTGGTTATTTGTCGCCTTGAAAATTCTAGGTCTTCTAGCCATTTGATACTACAATGTGTAGGTTGGCTCTTGTTGTGGACTTCGTGTGTCTTTTTTTCCTCTCCATCTTTGTTTCCTCAGGTTACACCCGTATCCGGATGTATGGGCATCTGTCTCTACTTTTGTAGTTGCATATGTGCATTCATTTCGGGCCTGATGAAGCCAACCAGCAGAAATACGTATCGCTCGGGTTACCTATCCTATTCTGCTCAAATCCACTTTTTGCGGATTTTGCCCATTATTTTCCTATTTTTATATATATATATATATATATATATATTATACATTCGTGATCTTATAATATGCTCATTTACTTTAAAAAGTGCCACAAGCCGAAATATGACCAGAATTAATTTTTATTTTATAATCCGCATCTTTCTGGATTCCTATTGTTGCAATTTTGGACTGTTGATGTGGATATTTCTAGAGCATCGGTGTCGCTTAAGTAGAAACAAAGAACTTTAAACACATTTCATATCTGTTTAACTTATAACCTCTGTAATAAATAATACTTACATTATACAGCATTTCAAAATTACATTTCACCTATTGAATTAGCATTGGTGTTCGTCAACTTCATCATTATCATCATCGTCACTGTCGTCATCAGTTTCGCTGTCGTCATCTTGCCCTATAGTTATTATAACTGGTTCCATTTCCTCCATAAATTGATCATTTTCCCAAAATTTATCTTCAATGTCCCTAGCATGTTGACAAAATTTCTGCCAATCATTAATGGATATTAAGGACATCGCTTCCTGAGTAACTTCTTTCAGTGCGGTTAAACTGAAGTTTCCAGTGGTATTGCGGCTTCTTATATGAAATTTAAGCTTTGCCCAAGCTAATTCTATTGGGTTTAGCTTGCATAAATAAGGAGATGTTCTTAGAGGAGTATGTCCATGTGATCTTATGATCCGATCAACTACATAACTTTTTGGTTGTCAGGGGGCTTATGAAGTAAGACCAGATCGAACAAGTCAAATTTTCTGGCAGTTGCCTCATGATTTATGCCTATAAAATATTTTATTGTATAGTTTGATATGTACATGCATGTTTTGAGTCATAAGTACCTTTCTTTGTCAACCAGGCATTTATATCTTTTTTCGAAGATGATTTTGTCGGGGTTTTATCTTCCTGGACGGAATGATATGGAGCATTGTCAAATACTATAACCGAATTGGCAGGTATATTCGGGAGGAGTTTTTCTGTGAGCCAGCGTGTGAAATTTTCCCGATTCATCTGACCGTGGTAATCGCCTGTAGCTAATCCCGCCTTAAATATCAAACAGGCATTGTCAACAAATCCATTTTCTGAACCTGCATGCACTATAATGAGTCGACCTAAAATATACAAGACGATTATATAATATGTTACAAATCAGAGTTAAATTTAACATATATATAGCATTTTTGCTTACCTGTAGAACCTATACTGCTTATTACACCAGAAACAGTTTCGCTCTGCCAGCATTTTTTGAAAGTCAAGTCATTGTCCACCCAGGTTTCGTCCAAATAAACTATATTGCGCCCTTCTTCACGATATCTACGTATTTCACGGATGTATTTGTACCTCCATTGCAATATATTGGGCCTCTCCATCAAAACTTTTCTTTTATTTTGACATTTGCGCCAAAAAAAACCATTTGATTTTAATAAACTCCTGAGAGTTTCCCTAGAATAGGGGAAATTTGAGTCTTCTCGCAACTTTTGTAATAACTTCCTAGTTGTCGGGACAACTTTATATTCAAGATAAAATCTGTTTATCAAATGTCTAATAATCTGAAAATCAAAATCTTCATCTTTCTCAACAAGAGACTGACGCGGTCTTTTTTTTCCGGGACTGGATAACATTTTATTCGGGTTATTTTCTAGTCTTTCTTTATCTTCGTTATGAATTTTCCTAACAGAAGATACTCCGACTCCGGTATAAAGGGACACCCTATCAAGCTTTTTAAGCGGCAACTTGAGGGAATTGTTTGCCGCTTCCTCATCGCAAACCCTATAAATAATCATCAGAATGTTAGCTTAGCATTTCCTTGTTTTTTATTTATATTCAGACTCAGTCGTCAAAAACTGCAATTATTGCATATTATTATTACTAACCTATAAACATTCGCAATCACTTCTCTTGTTTGGCTATGAAGCGTCTTTCCGCGAGTAAATTGGTTCATTTTAAAAAAATAATACTAAAACGAATAACAATATCAAATACCAAAACACTAAACTATTCAAAAACACACAGCACTAAACATACAAACTTAATAGAACAATAAATAGTTAACAATAATAGTTGTAAAACTCATACACGGGTAAAACCTACGCCACTGGACTTTTTAATAGTATGGATATTCTAAGAAAGGAGCAAAAAATTGTCTGGGACGCTACCCAATAGGGAGTCGAATTTTCTCATGGCGACAAAACATGTGAGGATATCCGCCAATCAGATTCGTTTAGGCGGTGTCCAATATACCTTTCGGGTGGTTGTTGCCAGCTCAACCGATGTAGATAAGATCTTTGGAAAAATGTTTACTTATAATACGATTCTGTAGTAAAAAATAGTTAGTAAATACAAATAGAGCTAACAACCCATTAAAATTCTCAGTATTTTGAATTAATATTTTTTGGAATTGTGAAAAATCGATTTTCAAATCATTGAAATTACTTTTATTATTATTATTGCTTTTTTGTAGTTAAATTTGGCAATATCGAATATTTTCGGTCGCATTCCTTTCGCTGTTGCAGATCCGTTTGCCAAACTATACTAGGCCAACAAAAAATGCAAATTATTTGAGAGATTGTCTCGCAGATTATTTTGTAACTACTGAAGGGATGTTGCCGTGGCAAATGGACAAAATATAATAACTCTATTAATTGTGTATTGCTATTGCTCAATATATATGTATATTGACTTACCTATTTTGTGTTGTTCCTTTTTGTCCTTTTCTAGGAAATCTTCTTCAAAAAACGCACACACGTCCTTCCACGCTTTTTCTTTTTCAATCTTATCCTTGAAGCAATCTGCAGTTTTATCCCACAAACAAGGTTTATTTTCTATTGCTTCGATTAAAGTCACAACATCATACTTGAAAATTCTACTCATTGTCAGTACAAAAAAGTTGAAAGGTACAATGAATACCCAACAGCAAACGACCCTATGTATGCACTTCCTACGAGGTTAGCGATATACTAAGAACTTAGATGCATAAATATCCCCGGCACCGGAACGCGTGAGCCTGTGTGGACAAGTATAGATTGTAGAACAGTGGAATCGGCAAATCGGAAGCCGGTGCGTGGTCCGATTGTCGAGTTCACCACCGACTGCATGAATCGGAATCGGTGACCGGACCGTCAAATAAACCGGGCCGGGCTACGTGTGAAAATATTCATTTTATTACATTGCATTCGATGTCGGCATCGTTACTGGCACCGATTTTGTCGGTGTGTGTGCAAACGGCCTTAGGATCATTATTACACTTCCTCGACATATTCACAGGGTTAATAAATCACAAAAAAGTGTTCAAATTCAACAACAAATATTTTTATAAGGATTTACTTGTAAGCGTTTCTGTTAATTTACTGCCGTAGTACTAGCTATGAGTATTACCGTATCACAACAAATATGAGGCTAATAGACATATGACAGCTGTCATGTAATAATGAGGGTAGACTGATAAAACAAAATTAGCTGTCAAAGTTCGTGTGGCAAAACCAGTGTTGACCAGTGATATTTTACCATTTAAAATTCCTGTCCAATGGTTTATCTTGAAGCGATATTGAGATTTATCTTCTCTCATCAAATATGGGTTTGCTACGTGCCACTCGTGTAAGTTATGCAGGTTCATGTACCCATCTTTCTTAAATGTGGTCTCATCTGACCATAACATTTTTTCAAAGAACCGTGGATCTTCCCTGTGTCTTTCTAACATTGTGCGACAAAAAGCAACTCGGGGCTCATAATCCCGGGGCAGAAGAACTTGAACACGCTGTACGTGGTATGGATGAAGCACATCACTTATATATTAGGAAATTAAACGCAAAACTCTGTGTGGATACAAAAAACTATTTTATGCAAAGCAAACTGCAAGTTACATATTGATAAACGTATTGATATCTGAAAGTATTTTAAATACAGGTAAACCTGAATAAATGTTTATGATAAGAAAACTAAGCCTGATGAGATTCTTCGAAGCATCTTCCAACACACAATCCTGGGGCATCAGGGCATTTGGTACAATGATACGAGGAATCTTTTCTGATTTTATTCTGCCAACACACTTTGCAACGTTTTCGCATAGTTCTACCATCTTTATTTCTAGTTTCAATTTTCTCCAGTGAATGATGTGTAGTTTGCTTTGCAGGTTTAGGATTGGTATTTTGTGGTTGAGGAAGATTTTTTTCAAGAACAGCCATACGAAAATCATAATAAGATAGCCGCTTTTGAGAGTGCTTGTTATATAAAATATCAGAATTGAAAAGTAGTAACTGAAATATATGTATCCCCAGTTTATTATACCAGCGCAACGTTTTCCGAACACAGGGGTAGTATGATATCATCTGATCCATGTGGTCTATGCCGCTCATGTATCTATTATACTCCACTACAGGTAGAGTTCGAACGTTCTTAGAATATGACCGCTACGTCATCGTGGGCGGGTCCGCTCATCACGCGGTCGTCGACAGAGCGCAGTGGCGTTCTATTTTATTTGAAGTATAAAATAAAGTGAATAGGTTGTGCAGACATTGATCATTGATTGATTTTTGTATTATTATATTCATTTAGTATGCGCATTAAGTTGTTCGGAAGCAAATTTGAATTAGAAGAGGGAGCAAACTAAATACGGTTATAATTCAAATTATATATTATCATTACAAAAATCTAATCGCTATAAGATGATAGTGTGATAGCTCCAAATCTTCATCTGAGTCGCTTTCGTCACTATCTTCTGATGATGACCCTGTGTTCACAGTGAATTGATACTTATCCATTTGATCGTCGAGAAGATGTTCTTTTTCCATTTGTGCTTGCTCATATTTTTTCACGTTTTTACAAATTTTCTTCCACTCATCTGGACCATTTTAAATATAATAGGTTTATTATGATAAATAGAAAAATATTACACTGGACAACAAATTTTAGTTTTTTAATTGTATTTTGTGGGAAAAGTGCACTTCTTTGTTAATTTTGGGGCGCTGAACCCAAAAATGACAATGAAATAAAAACATTAGTTGCGGTTTAGAAAAAAAACTTTTTATTTTTAAGGATATATTAAAAAAAATAAGATTCATATACTTATAAGAATCACTATATGCGCTGTCTTTTTGCTGTTCTTTTATGGATCGTTTCTGGAGCATCTCTACCAAGAGTCCAACAGTAGTCTGCAAGCATGGAAGGATTCCACTTTCCCTGGTGCCTTTTTTCCATTGTTGAAATATCCTGATGAAAACGTTCGCCTTGCTCATCACTTACGGCTCCGCAATTGTCAGGAAAAAAGTCCAGGTGTGAGTGTAGGAAATGTATCTTAAGAGCCCATCTTTTGATACGATGACAGCATATTTTTGACAAGGGTTTTATAGTTGTCAGCTTTTCTATTTCCCAAGAAATTAGTGACCACCAGACGGAAATCATTCCAAGCAGTTTTTTCAATACCTGTTAAAGCGTTTTCAAACTGTCTATCTTTCAAAATATTTCGAATCTGTGGCCCAACAAAAATACCGTCTTTAACCTTTGCCTCACTTAGTCTTGGAAATTTCTGACGCAGGTATTGAAAAGCTGACCCATCTCTATCTAATGCCTTGACAAAGTTTTTCATTAGGCCCAACTTGATATGCAGTGGTGGTAATAATTTTTTTTTCGAATCTACTAATGGCATATGCTGTACATTTTTTTGACCTGGCTCTAGGAATTGACGAACAGGTCAGTTTTGTCTGATGTAATGAAGTGCCTTTGCCCGACTGTCCCATTCACACAAAAAACAGCAAAACTTTGTGTAGCCTAGCTTCAGCCCAAGTAAAAGTGCAACAACTTTCAAATCGCCACAAATATGCCATTGGAGCTCAGCGTATTTTATGCATGTCAATAGGTACTTCATATTGTCATATGATTCTTTCATGTGAACTGCATACCCTACAGGAAGAGATGGTAAAATATTTCCAATATGCAATAACACTGCCTTTAAACTCAATGTTGAACAACAATCTCCATTCTTCTGGGTTATAGTTTATATTTAAAGCCGCCAGTAAGCCGTTAATGTTACTGCAGAAAACCAAGTTATTCTCCATATTGAAAAATCTTTGTGGCGTTTACGAAAAACACATACCGAAACATTGTCTTCTAACAAGTTCCACTGCCGCAGTCTTGATCCAAGTAACTCTGCCTTACATTTTGGAAGTTCTAAATCTCTTACAAGATCATTTAATTCTGTTTGTGTTATTTTGTGCGGTTGGTGGCATGACGTGCTCGGTATAAAATCAGGATCTCTTGACGTTGATGGCATATCTTCTTCCTGACGAATCACTCGATCGCCATGATCTGATTCGTTTTCTGATTCGCAAGTGTAGGATTCTGGGGGTTTTGGAATAGGATTTTCGTCACTGTGAGGCACAGGTCTCATCGCAGATGGTATGTTTGGGTAGTTAGTAACCGATTTTTTTTTCTTGGACATACCTGTGGCTTGTCCAACACAAGGTACCATGCAAAAGTAACAATCATTAATATGATTTGTAGGCTCTCCCCAAACCATTGGGACAGCAAAGCGCATAGACCGTTTTTTGCCATTTAACCAGCTCCTCAGACTTGAAGCACATGTATACAGCAGATGTGGGGTGCCCACTGTTTGTCTTGATCACCTAGTTTACAACCGAAATAAAGCTTATATGCCTTTGTTATTAGTGGAGTAATAGACCGTCTCTGAGACGCAAAAGTCACATCACCACACACGTAACAAAACTAATCTGGATTGTTTACACACTTTCGAGACATCTTGCATGAACGCTGTCAGCGAACTGAGGAAAAAATGGCTAATATAAAACAATATAATGTACACGTATGTATAACGTAACACAATCATGCCGATTACATCATCTTTCCTTGCCGAATATAAAAATGTAGCACGTGCATTCTTGTGAATAACAGTATATTAACACTGTCACAGCAGGAACACATATAATTACCGTATCTCTAAAACTTGAACTAATATTGAAAAAATAAGTTTCATTCCGGTTTTAGCACATTAAAAATAGTAATATTTTGTTTAGGATATTTTTTGGCTGTTGATCAGTGTTATCAAACGGATATAGAGTTCTAAATAAATGAAAAAGACAGAATAACAAATTATTATAGGTCATAACTAGGTAAACATTCTAAATTTACGAACATAAAAAAGTAATAAGTCCGAACAAATAATCAATCTCACATTCGTAGAATTATTGCTCGTGAAAATCTCTGAAGCAAGGCGTCAAGCAAAGTCCCGGCTGTGTGGGACATTGAGGACAAAAATAAACGACATCTTTTCTTATTTTTTTCCTTTCCCAGCAAACTTGCATCGTGGTCTCTTCGCTTTTCCTTTGTCATCTTTTGGGCAATATTCTGGTAAATGGAAAACCTGAGGCACTTTTTGTGGTTTTGATGGTGGTGGATCCAATAAGTTTTCTATCACCGATAGTCTGTAATCATACAGGTTCATTTTGCTTCCTTGTTCAACTTTTTTATGAATATAGAATAGGGTGGAGTGAAAATGGCATCAAAAAAAGAAATTCTCTAAAACAATAAGCCTATGCGTGGAAAAGTTGCCTAATATAAGGGTATATTCTAGAGGAAAAACGTGGCTCAAAATACTGACATCTTCTACTGCCCATTTGACTTTGAAGTTTCAAAAGTTCAAGCAAAATTTTTTTTTATTGCTGTGATGCAGCTCTTCGCTCTTCGCTTATTTACATCGAAAGTATCACATTGATGCATTTTTGATGTAAATCACCCAGAACTCACCGCGTGGTGGTAGCTGCATATCGAGTTCCACCGCCCTCCCACCCTTATATATATATATATATATATATTACTACGACTAATTTACGTTGAAAACTTGAAGGTATTGACTTTTGGTTTCGAATACTGGCAAACTAGCTCTAGAAGCAATTCTTGCTCTTATAAATCCATCCCTTGCTATATTTCCACACACAGCAACTGAAGCATCGGTTACTAATTTTACACACCTTTCCACTGCTTGCGTGTGGCATGGATATTTCAAAATTTCAATTTCCTCTGGAACATCTAGGATCATTTCTTCTAGTTCTTCATTGGAAATATATTTTGTTAGGGGAGGTTCGGTTATTGTTGTCGACTGCCAATCAATGATATCTATGTAATCTTCAGCATCAAACTTTAAAGCTGGCAGTTTGAACTCTCGTATTTCTTGTTGGTTTGCTATTTTTCTACATTTCAACAATCTTCTGAGACCTAATTCTCTCACTGTTTTGCGAGTGTCAGCCAACATGGCCAATAATAAATTTTCAGGATGACCAAAATAACCGTTCCTTTGTATAACTGGATCTATGATTTTTCTTAAGTCTTCTGGTAAAAACCTAGATTTTTCTATCATACCAAATAGATGCTTACTCCCATGTCGACATGATGGTTGGCTTTTGATTGCAAACCATGTGGTGGCATACACTTTCATGACATATTCTGTTAGAATAATTAGATTCTGTGATGGTTTCGCTGTGGAGACATATGTATAATCGTAAAATCCTGTTTGCGGTCGTAAGCCATCTGGAATGAGCCATTTTACCTGGGTTCCTTTTTGACAAGTTCAAAGAGATGTTCCCTTTTGAAATAGCATTACAAATTTCATAAAGATATTGTTGGTCGGAGCTAAGTTTATCAGCAGTGATTTCAGGCAAACTAATTTCTATTGGTTTAAAATTTGTAGGCTCTAAGATTTCACATTTTTCTAATTGCTTTCCTATCTCGCCACTGAATCCTTTTGGACCAGTTGTTTTCCCGTCTAGATGTTGCAATAAATGTCTTAAAGGTAGTTCATTTGCATGCAGTAGGAAAACAAACCATTGCAGAGATCGATTCAGCGAAATCTCAAGTTGTCTAATAATTCCATTCTTAGATCCAGTATTTACTGCCGTACCATCACAACCTATAACTAACAAGTTAGAAACATCAAAATTAGGTTCCAGAAAATCTAGAATGCCTCTTTTAATACTAAGCGAATAACCAGATTCAGGAGTGAAATGTCCAATGTATTTAGATCCTGGTTCTGAAACTAAAACTATATGCTCCTCAATCTTCGTTTTCTTGGGCGAAATTCCTTCTTTACTAGTTTGAACTAATGTTTGATCTTTTCTTCCATCAAAATATATTCCATACACTTATTTTCTTCTCTCGTCTTTTCTCTTTAGGTCAACTCGAACTTTTGCCCTTTCTCTTCGAATTTTGCTGCGATCGACAATTTTTGATGAGTCCACTGTAGTAACTATTCCCATATCTTTTAATGCTGCACTAACAAGAATTGCTGATGCCCTATCTGAAACACCCGTTCTGTCACATGCCAGTGCTACACTTGGTAGTTTTATTCTCATCTGAGAAGTTGAAGGAGTATTGAGACTATCGAGCCTATCTTCTGGTTTAATAGCGTTTTCTTCTGAGGAATTGCTGCTTGAAGCCTCTTCTCCTAGAGTAGCTGGAACTAATTGGTATGGTCTGTTTGCTTCACATTTTTTGTATTCATCATCATGACTAATCTTATGTTCTTCTGTTTTATTTTTACGCTTCCATCGCTTTTCGAGTGCTTTTGTAGTTTTTTCATCAACTGTTCCAATTACCATTTTTCGCGAGGTTCTCTGGTCTGTTAGAAATTTATGTTCAATTACAGGCACTTTTGATGCACAAGAACAGTTTGAAAAATCTTTACACTTGCATAGCGATATATCAAAGAGTTTTTTCTCAGCCGAATCTCTAAACAAAACGACATGTTTTGAATTATCAAGTTTACCGTTCTTTTTTAATCGTTTCATAATATTACGATATTTACTGTGGTATTCTCGAATTTTATGTAATATTTGTTGGTCTGATATCACACAAATGGAACTTCTTTGCCACAAGCTTTTCAAGTCTTTTATTAAAACGAAACACACATCACCAGCAAAACTAGGTCTTTGTTTTGTTGCACAAGTTCCTGTCGAAGATACAAATAATATTTTATAATATCCGCATAAGTCGGCAACACATTGTTCTTAAATGGTTTTGGTACACCAAACACAGGGCACAATGAATTACGTCGCGTAAAAGACATTGTTTTGCATACGAGCGCAATGACCCGAGTAGCGAACTGCTCTAATGCTACCAGACAACTAAAACTATGACTCGACAATATGAATCCGTCAGTAGACCATTCGTGTGTCTACGCGGTCTACGAGCACAGACGATTTGTTTAGAGCGTTCCTGGAATCAAGTCTGCCTCGTTGGCGCCGAGGCGCGCCGGAGCGGCTTGTGACGTGGCGTCAAAGAATAGTATTTTTCAAGGTCGGGATATTATCAAGGTCTATGAGTGTTTTATTATACTTCCTTTACGTAGATATTCAGTTATTCATATAGATAACAAGATATTAGTGACAATAATACAAAATTATATATATTTTCAAAATATTGGGAAAATGCCAATAATCAAAGCTGTTTGGGCAGTAGAAGTTTTAGGATAATTGAGCCCAGATTTTTTTTAGGGACTGCTGCGGGTAAAAGGCAACTTTTCGTCGCATAGGCTTCATGAAATTATAAATTTTTTTTTTCGCTCCAGCCTAATATAGAATGAATTTAGAAGCATTATTTGGAATATATGAATGCCTAACTTTTTGTACCACCTCAGTGTCTTCTGTTCACATGGGTAGTCGCTAAGCATTTGATCATTCTGATCAATGCCGCTCATAAACCTATTGTATTCAGCGATAAGCTTGGGTTTGTCCTGCTCTATGCCTCTTCTCGAAGTAGTTTTTATAAATTCCCCGCCAAACTCGCTTGAAATGGCCAGTATCTCCCGTCGATCCTTCCATTTGCAAACGCATATGCCTTCAGGTGTATACTCGCAATAGCTTTCACCTTTTTTAATTTTTTTGTCAGAACACTATGTGGATTTCCGGCACGATTGGCTCTAAGTGTGCCAGTTGAATATGTTTTGGCTCGCAATAATTGGTCAGATAAACTTACACTGTTGTAATAATTATCCATATAGAGAGAATGTCCCGCGCCAGTTTTCGTCTCAATCAATTTCAAAACAACCTTTTCCGTGTGCTTGGAACCTCCAACTTCTGTATCAGCTGATCCTCCATAAACAATTGTCCTTTGAACCATTCCACTAGGCTCCGCCAACACATAGAGTTTCATTCCATACTTGTGCCGTTTTCCTTGTATATACTGTCGAAAACTGAGTCGGCCCCTCCAGAGAACCATAGACTCATCCAAAGCCAGCTCTCTACTTGGATAATACAGGGTGACAGGAAATTAGTGGCGGAGCCGGTAAGGGGTGATAGTATAGGGTAATTAGAGCCGATATTACTATGAGACCTACTAACCCACAGTAACCCATTCCAAGATATTCGTACTTGCAGAATTTTACCAAAAAGTTCTACTTAAAATTTTAAAATAGGTATACATCTTAAAAAATGGCTTTTCGGCCTATTTTTTTTGGTTTTACAACAAAGATATTCTGAATAAGGAATACTAATAGTTTAATCCTGGTAATTGTCGTAATTTTCTGCGATAATTGCTAAATAAAAACTAAAATGAAAAAAAAAAACACGGTGACGGCTTCTAAAACGTGGATTTACTCAAAAAAGTAACCTATAATTGTTACGTACAAAATAATTAAAAAACATCTGCGTTTCGTTGCCTGTCGAATACGGTATTAAAATCTAAAATCGGTTCAGGGACCATCAAGATAGACGAATAATAAAAATGAAAGAAAAAAGTGAATGCTGAAAAATCAATTTATTACAAAAAACATTCTTATTCATAATGCGTTTTCAAAATGCCCACCCCTATTTCTAATACAAATTCGTGCTCTTCTCAGGACACCCGTTTTCACAACCCTTGAATCTCGAAGTTCCGTTTGTATTTCCTGCGCTGCGTGAATGATTCTGTTGCGCAGGTCTTCAATATTAGGTACAGGGACATCAGTACCATACACGATACTTTTCATTCGACCCCACACGAAGAAGTCCATGGGTGTGATGTCGGGACTACGTGCCGGCCATGGTATTGGACCACCTCTACCTATCCAGCGGTTGGGGAAGTGTTCGTCAAGCCAATTTCTCACAGCTAGCCTGAAATGCGCTGGACAGCCATCATGCATGAAGGTCATGTGTTGTCTTGTTTGTAGCGGCACGTCTTCCAACAATTCATGCAAAACATTCCTGAGAAAATCTTCATATGCTTCCCCATTAAGGTTTTGAGGCAGGAAATGAGGTCCAATCAAACGGTTATTGATTATTCCCATCCACACATTAAGGTTAAATCTTCTTTGTGAACCTTTTGGTCTTTTTAGGTGTGGATTACCCATGACACGTTCTCTCCAGTAGTGAACATTATGGTAATTGGTAATACCGTCCTTATCAAACTTGGACTCATCAGTCCATAAGATCGTTCTCAGATAATTCCTATCTTCAACATCCGCATTGATTAAAAATCTGCAAAACTGGATTCGTCTCAAAGGATCCCCTTCTTCTATTACCTGAACAGGTGTGTAATGGTAAGGGTGGAGCCCACTTTCATGAAGAAGGTACCACACCTTCCATTGGGAGAGTCCCATAAGCCGAGCTACCATTCGTGTAGATAGAGTAGAGTCCCTTGCGAAGTAATTTAAAATTTCCTCTTCGTCTCCCGCGGCATACAGTCGAGGTCTACCTGCGTCACCTGAAAACAAAAAAGATTTGTTTTTATAAGTTTTAGTACAATGACTTTTGTTGATTTTTATGGTGCTAATTACGTAGCCGTTAATATTAGTCAAACTAAAAGCAATTATAGCATCAAAGACTCGCTGTCCGCGTGGTAATAAAATGTGGAAACAGGACGCCCTGAGTTGGGTTGTCTGTCGCACTTACGGGCCTTACGGCAGGTAGTGAGGCACCACTGACGTATCGGTGTTTATCTTATGAAAAAAGCTAGCCTATCGAGCCCTGGCATACCGATAATTTATGGGTTTAACTTTAGTAAGTTGTATGGACAGCGACATTTGTTTTGCAATCCCACAATTAAAAGGGTACGTGCAAGGATAACAAAAAACTGATAGGAAAGGTTTAGTTTTATTTAGTTTGAAACGGATTTGATAAAGAATTTTGTGTAAACAAAATAATAATAATAATGGCTGTTCCTTACCTTGGTATCTTTGGACGGTTCCTCGCTCTCGCACTCGACGGAATGTTCGGGAGAATACGCGTGCATCAGGCAATCGACGATAAGGGAATATTTCGGCATATTCTCGACGAGCTTGTTCTGCGTTTCCTCTGGCAGCTCCGTAATAAAAAATAATATCGGCGTATTCGTCGATACTGAACGATCGTCTTCTTTCTCTAACAGCCATTATTAGTCAGCTAGTCCACACTCAGTCACTCAGCAGCCAAATCGTAAGGAAAAATCAAAGTCGTGAAAATATCAAATCCGAGAGCAAGCGAGCACATCCGAACACAGTAAACCGTAAGAGCGGACTGAAAGGAGGAAGGGATTAGCTCGACTGCCCAACGACCGCGTCCTTTTTTGTTCTCGGATAGGCTCTATGGGTTTTTCCATTGATCATATCTTCATCGTTTCTAAACCGATTTTGGATTTTAATAGCTCATTCGAAAGGCAACGAAACGTAGATGTTTTTTCATTATTTTGTACGTAAAAATTATAGGTGACCTTTTTGAGTAAATCCACGTTTTAGCAGCCGTCACCGTGTTTTTTTTTCATTTTGTTTTTATTTAGCAATTATCGCAGAAAATTACGACAATTACCAGGATTAAACTATTAGTATTCCTTATTCAGAATATCTTTGTTGTAAAACAAAAAAAAAATTTGCCGAAAAGCCATTTTTTAAGATGTATACCTATTTTAAAATTTTAAGTAGAACTTTTTGGTAAAATTCTTCAAGTACGAATATCTTGGAATGGGTTACTGTGGGATAGTAGGTCTCATAGTAATATCGGCTCTAATTACCCTATACTATCACCCCTTACCGGCTCCGCCACTAATTTCCTGTCACCCTGTATATTTCTTCCATCTTTGAATTTAAAAAATTCATCAAGGGTGCTATCTTAGCCAGCTTATTTTGCTCATTTGGTTGAGTCTGACTGAAATGCAAAGCACGTAAGGTGAGTAAAAACCGATTTCTGCTCATAAAACTGCTAAAAACTGTAATATTAAATAGAAAATGAGTTTTCCAATAATCATTCATTCGGTTCAGTCTAATGGTTCCCATCAGGCCAATTCTGTTTAGCTATAGCAATATTGTTACTTGTTATTATGAAGAGATCTTGCTATGATTTAACAATGTTTGCGATTGTCCTATTCTGTTCAATATATTTTAGCCAGATGATCTGTCATTTTGAATAGTTCTTGTTTTTCGATCTTGTTATCTCGGCAAATAGTATTTAAGTACTTGCTATCAATGTAACAACATTGTTATTGCAGAAAAATGGCCGTCAATCCGGTTTTTGTGAATTTTGATGTAAACTTTCGCCATACATTTGAAAACGTTCTAGTTAGGTAAGAGGATTAACATACAGTTTTTTATTTGTGTAACTTCATGACCAACAAACATTGCAGTCGAAGTTTACGCTTGCACTTCCGAAATATCAGAGACGCAAGTAATCCGTTTGAAATTGCTGAAGACAAGTTCAAAAAATTGTTTCGTCTGAATAAAGTAGCAGCAACGGATCTAATTACTCAGCTACAAGGATACGTTGATGAACCTACCAGAAGAGACACAGTACCTTTTCATCTGCAGGTAACAAAATAATCAACATTTTACTATAATAATAATAATGATTAGTAATAGTACATATATGTGTATAATCAAACTGATATGTAATATGAATTTGTAACGTTTCACAATTCATTCTAAATAGAATCTATTTTCTCTATGAATCTTCAACAAATTATTTTCAGGTCTTTTCAAGTTTATTATTTTATGCCCATGGCGGTTATCAAACAACCGTAGGACACGACTTTAATATCGGAATCAGCCAACCTGTAATGAGCAGACTTATAAACAAAATAAGCAGACTAATTGCATTACATTTGTCACCTCGATATATCAGGTTTCCAACAACTTCAGAAGAAGTTAGGAGAGTCAAAGACGGGTATGTAGGTATTTTCTCTACATAATGGCCACATCATATCATGAGTTTTTCAATTTTCAGATTTTTAGAGAATCATCAATTCCCAAATGTTGTAGGCGTTATCGATTGTACACATATTGCGATAGTGCCACCCAAAACAGATGATCCTATTAATCCATCAGTAGCATATATTAATAGAAAAGGGTTCCACAGTGTAAATGTTCAGGCAGTAAGTTCATTTTTTGTTAAGCCTTGACTGAGAACATAAATTCGCAATATTTTACAGATTTTCGACTCTCACCTAATGATTACTAACGTAAATGCGAAGTATCCTGGAGCAGTCCATGATGCAGCAATATGGGACTCTTCAAACATACAGAGACATCTTAAGCAAAAATATGAAGATGGAAGACGAAACTGCTACCTACTTGGTGATTCAGGATATCCTCTCCAGCCGTGGCTGATGACACCAATCCTCGAAACAAGAGCTAATACCCCCGAAGCTCACTATAACAGTATACATATCAACACACGCAATGTGGTTGAAAGGGGCTTTGGTATTTGGAAAGCCCGTTTTAGATGTTTAAGGAAAGACAGGGTTCTTCATTATTCTCATGATACAAGTGGCATGATAATTTATGCTTGTGCTGTTTTGCATAATATTTGCAGAATATATAATGCAGAACAAGAGTATGAAGATAATGGCGACTCTCATGACAACACTGATCAGACTACTGACAGCAGCCATCCTGATGATGCTGCAATTCCAAGTAATGATTTTCTCACAGAGGGCAGGTTTATTCGCCAGCAACTTGTAAATCAGTTGTCTACTGCGATCAGGTGAATTATGTAAGAAAATGTTCTCTAAAATAAATATTTAATGCAGATTTTAGTATTTTCATTTTTATTACATGACATCAGGTTTTTGATGTGTTGCTTAGAGCAATTGCTATATCAGATAGCCCTTGAGCTAACTGTGATATTGCACCAGCCATCACCTTCACAGCTTCAGCCATTTCGCTGGTGCTTTGTGCATAAAGTTCAGCTGCTTCGTGCAGCTGTGTGCTC